GTGCTGGGAATACAGGTGTGAGCTACCATGCCTGGCATGAATTGTATACTTTAAAAGGGTGAATTTTAGGGTGTTTAAATTATATCTCTGTAATGCTGTTAAATGAATTAACAATATACACAGAAGGTTCTGAAGAGGAATGTGAAGTGGTATTTTTCCATACCAGCATCAAGTTCTATTTAATGCCAGGCCTCACTCACTAAATAGATCTCAGTATATGTGACTGATGGGTGAATTAACTGAACAATAAACAACAAGAAATGAAATCTGGCCAGGCACGGTGGCTGATACCTGTAATCCCAGCACTTTGGGAGGCTGAGGCAGGTGGATTGCCTGAGCTCAGGAGTTTTAGACCAGCCTGGGCAACATGGTGAAACCCTGTCTCTACTCAAATACAAACAATTAGCCAGGCGAGGCAGCATGCACCTGTAATCCCAGCTACTCGGGAGGCTGAGACAGGAGAATTGCTTGAACCTGGGAGGCAGAGGTTGCAGTGAGCCAAGATCTCACCACTGCACCAGCCTGGGTGACAGAGCAAGACTGTCTCAAAAAACAAAAACAAAAACAAACAAAAACAAAAGAAATGAAATCTGTCTGACATCTAGATCAATAAAAACAGACCTTGAATTTGTCTTTATCTTGGAAAGCAATTGCTTAAGCTTAAGAACTCTAAAAAGAAATCTACAAAACAGAAACAGCCAACTGTTGTTCCCATCCTCCAATTTCAACGGGAAATATAAGAAAATTAGAATTATCTGGCCCCAAGTTACTAGAAATCACACAGTTAAATCTAAGTGCCTATTTGCATTCCATGAAAAAAATTGCCAATAATCTTTATATGTATGAGTTAAAATTTATATCAAACTATGCTAAGTTGTCAATTATCTAAAATTTAAAGAATGGTTATTAAGGTTTTCAAACACTATTTATATATGTGTTTCTCTTAGTCTTGAGACAATCAGCTTATAAAAATAGACTATTTTAAGATATTTACAACAAATATATTGAATTTAAGTAAATCTATCTTGGCATTTGTCTGGCATATATTACTGAGAAAACTATGCATTCTGGAGCTTTCTATTAATATTACCATTAATAGAACCTATCCAACATTTATCGTTCTAAGCTAACACCAAGTTAAATTCTGGGAATACCAATTATGAAAAGAATATATTAATAGTAGATGATTCTCAGAGTCTAATAAAATGGTGGGAAAGATATTTATAAGTAAATAGTTATAAAAATGTGATAAATGATAAAATAGAAGGGATAAATGATAAAATAAAATAGAAGCTCTGTCTGGATGATACCAATTCTAATAGCAGGGTTTTCTGACTTTTGTTTGGTACCTGTAAGATTTTATACCTCTCCAAAAATGGTGTTCGATCAGTATCTGTTGAATTGAAATTCAAGGTTAGGCTTGATATTAACAAAAAATATAAAATAAAACAGCAAATTAAAATGAGTAAATAAAAATAGAAAGTAAAGGTGTTACATAATTTAAAAGACCACCCAAAGAAATGTTTCACAACTAATTTTGCAGTGAACTCTTTAAGAAAAAGCCACTTCTAAATTTGCCCTAGAAAATAATAAAGGTGTTGAACTGTATTAGATTTTACTAAAGGCCTGAGACCACTCGCTGTGGGAAATACATTAACTTTAAAATCGACAAAAAAACTGACCCTTTCTCTGTTTAAGGGTTAGTATTTAAACTTCTGCAACAACCACATTCACTTTGCTCCAAGGTTTAGACTGCAAATTCAAAATCCAGTGATTATTCAAAATTTGTTCATTAATTCATCTATTTTTTGCCATTTCCAATTTGTTTTTCTGCTGGACCTGACTGAGCAAGTGTTCCATTCTTGGCATGTAATGCCACTCTGTTACCATCTGAATTAAAGTTTCCTTGGCAAATTTTCTATTGCTACTCATCCACAAATTGGGAATACTCTCTGGCCTCTTGGTGTTATAGGATCATCTTGAGATGAATTGAAAATGTATATATAATTTACATTTATATTTCCTTAGTAAAATGCCCTATAGTCTGCTACTTTTGCTACTCTGTTCTTGACTTCCTCCATATGAAAAAGTTATTTTAGCTCTAGTTGATGAACACCCTTCCTAGTCTACTTGCTGTTCTTCATATTGATGTGACTTTGTTATTTATGACAAACAACTTGTTACATTTCTAAACTTTTGTTTTTCTATTGTTACATTTCTAAACTTTAGGATGGTACTTTCATTTGAACAAGCAAAAAGGGTACAATTCACTTATCTTCAATAAAGGTTACATTTCTATTGTTACATATCTAAACTTTTGGATGGTACTTTCATTTGAACAAGCAAAAAGGATACAATTCACTTTATTGTCAATAAAATGTTTAGTGATATAAAAGTTGTTGGCATAAAAACACTGATATCAATCAAGGTTAAAATAACAATTTATATTGGGAGCATTACTTAGAGAAGTTGATCTGAACATCAGGATAAGTTAAGAGGCTTGCTTCAAATAAAAATTCCAACATCTCATCTCTGATCCAGTGGATAAGATCTGGATGGGGACAGGGGACACTGTAAATCTGCCCTTTAAACAGGCTTCCTAGCCAATTCTTAAGTACAGTAAGTCCTCACTTAATGCTGTCCACAGGTTCTTGAATACTATGACTTCAAGCAAGCTGATATACGATAACAATTTTATCAGAGGCTATTGACATAAATGAGAGTTAAGTTGCTATGGGTTATTGCTGGTCACAAAAACAGCACGAAACTTCTAAAGACCAAACACTTCGAATATTAAACATTGAAACAAATGTGAGCCATACATACATTTAAGAAAGATTAATGGCCAGGTGCAGTGGCTCATGCCAGTAATCCCAGCATTTTGGGAGGTCAAGGAGGGCAAATCATTTGAGGTCAGGGGTTCGAGACCAGCCTGGCCAACATGATGAAACCCTGTCTTTTCTAAAAACACAAAAAAATTAGCCGGGCGTGGTGGCGGGTGCCTGTAATCCCAGCTACTGAGAGGCTGAGGCAGGAGAATCGCTTGAACCAGGAGGTGGAGGTTGCAGTGGGCCGAGATCGTGCCACTGCACTCTAGCCTGGGTGACTGAGTGAGACTCTGTCTCAAAACAAAGCAAAACAAAAAGATTAATAAAAACAAGTAAAATAATTATTTACCCAGGATCATGGGACCGTAGGCCCAGATATTTATGTTGCCCATTCCCAGTAACATCTCTGGATAGCTGAGGCATGTGGCCAGCTGGGTGGCAGACTGGAAGGGTGAGGGTGAGGGGGTGTGGCTAATGGTTCTCAGCAGAGTCAGTGGCGCAAACCTGTGCAAGGAGCACTGTCCAGCTGCGTGGGCCTCCTGCCCATGTGGCCCAACCCGGTACAGCAGCTCTGTTTTTGTCTGATTTATACAGAGATTCCCTCAGATTTGTCTCATCAAAGGGTTCTACTGCTAAAACAAGTCTGAAAAACCATCAATGTAGGGCACTGAAAAGAGGCTAATACAAACTGTCACAAGCACAGAAAACAAAACACCACATGTTCTCACTCATAAGTGGGTGTTGAACAATGAGAACACATGGACACAGGGAGGGGAGCATCACTCAGCGGGGCTTAAAGAATAATGATAAAGAGAGAAAATAGGCTCATAGCTCTGGTGTCAGGGGAGCTGGGTGCTGGCACCTCTCTTGGCATGTCCCATCTGATGGACTTTTTGTTAGGACGTGTAAAGTCTGACTGTGCATGGTGACCCCATGACCCACACATACACCCCCGGAGGGCCTTGTGGAATGAGAAAACCTGAAGTAACTGGAAAGCAGAAGGACGATCAACCCCTGCAGCCCCCAACTAACCTGAGACATTCTTCTATTGTTTCTTATTCCGGCCTCAACTGACAAGGCCATTGGACTTTGTAACCGACCTTGTGAGTCCAGACCCTAAGAACCCCTCCCAGCTTGCAAACCTACAACCCCCTCCCAGCTTGCAAAAAAGCCGCCCTAAACTGTAACTTCTGTAACTTTCCACTGCTTACCCCAAACCTATAAAACCAACTCCGATCCCACCACCCTCTGCTGACTCTTTTTGGACTCAGCCCGCCCGCACCAGGGTGAATAAGCAGCCACGTTGCTCACACAAAGCATGTTTGGGGGTCTCTTTATCCAGAGCACATGTTTTTTTTTTTT